GGCCAACTTTGCCGAAAACGTGCGACCTGAAAATCTTAAAATCTTAAAGTGGATGAAAAATGGATGGAAAAATGGCCTGGATTGAAATCTCAAAATCCTAAAGTAAAATCTTAAATTAAAATCTAACAATCAATCTTAGAATCTCGAGATCTTAAAATCTTCGAACTTAGAATCTTACAATCTGAAAATATAAAAACATCCTAAAGTCTTCGAATCTTGAAATCTTAAAACCCTTATGTCTTAGAATCTTGAGATCTTAAACTCTTAAAATATGAAATTCCTAAAGTCTTACAATCTTAAAATCTCAGAATCTTAAAAAGCTATAAAAAATTAAAATCTTTAAACCTCGAACAATTGAAATCTGAAAATCTTAAATTATTAAAATATTACATTCCTTCAATCCGGGCTATATTGTAACTTTCTTAAACTTTTAATCTTGAATTATTGAAATCTTGAAACCTTAAGATCTTAAAATTACAACCTTAGAAGATAGAATCTTGCAACCTGAAAATATAAACCTCCTCAAGTCTTCGAATCTTGACTTCTTAGAACCCTCATGTCGTTGAATCTTCAGATGTTAAAATCTTAAAATATGAAATTCCGAAACTCTCAAAATCTTAAAGTCTCACAATCTTAAAAGCTTCAAAAACTTAAATTCTTTAAATCTCGAACTATTGCAATCTGAAAATCTTAAATTCATAAACAAGTAAAATATAATAAAATTCCTTCAATCCGGGCTATATTCTAAACTCCTTGAACTCTTAATGTTGAAATTTTGAAGTCTTGACATCTTAAGATCTTAAAATCTTAAATTCCGAAAGTCGCCAAATCTGAAAATCTGATAATGGATGGAAAATGGCTGGGCAATGGCCTGGCTGTTACAACCTTCAAAAACCTTAAATCTTTGAATCTTAAAACCTTAATTCTTAAACCATTGAAACCTTAAATTCCAAAAGTCTTCAAATCTGAGACCCTTAGAATCTCAAAGTGTTTAGAATATTGAAATCTTAACATCTACTCATCGGACTTACAGGAAAGGGAAGTGACAGAAACCCTCATGTCTTTGAATCTTCAGATGTTAAAATCTTAAAATATGAAATTCCGAAACTCTCGAAATCTTAAAGTCTCAGAATCTTAAAAGCTTCAAAAACTTAAATTCTTTAAATCTCGAACTATTGCAATCTGAAAATCATAAATTCATAAACAAGTAAAATATAATAAAAGTCCTTCAATCCGGGCTATATTCTAAATTCCTTAAACTCTTAATCTTGAAATTTTGAAGTCTTGACATCTTAAGATCTTAAAATCTTAAATTCCGAAAGTCGCCAAATCTGAAAAACTTCACAAAAACTAAAATATTGAAGCCTTCGAAATCTGATAGTGGATGGAAAGTGGCTGGGCAATGGCCTGGCTGTTATAACCTTCAAAAACCTTAAATCTTTGAATCTTAAAACCTTAATTCTTAAACCATTGAAACCTTAAATTCCAAAAGTCTTCAAATCTGAGACCCTTAGAATCTCAAGGTTTCTACACTTTGTAAATCTTAACATCTACTCATCGGACTTACCGGAAAGGGAAGTGACAGAACGGGCAGGGCAAGGTGCCCGGTGGCCGGCTGTGTCGCGTCAGCGTGTAAATATCGTGAAACCGGTTTGCTTGTTCAACCGATGCGGGGGCTCACCGACTGAACCCTTTTAAAACCGGCCTTCATTTGCCGAGTCAATCCCCGCCGCTGTGCCTAGACCGGTTGAAACTCCTGCTTGAACTAGTATACCCCTTGAATGGTATTGGACGCAAGCCGGCACCAGTTGGGCGGTTCATGCATACCAACCGCAGAAATAGCATGTCGGACGTCCTTGCAATTGAGAGTAATTAGCAAGCCAAGCAAAACAAGAAGCCACTTTGGCCAACTCTCTACGAGGTTCGGTCGGTATGTTCGACCCTTCCTTTTGCGAAGTTCGATCTGATTCATAGCCCTGACTTGACGCCATGGACCCCTTCCCATATGATTTGTTTGTGTTGGACCCATTTGCTCACCTTTCGATCCCACGCGACCGCTCCAAAAAAAGCAGTCCGGAAACGGCGTCCTTTGGCCGCGCGAATTGAAGCTGCCGCGTGGGGCTATGTCTTTTGGGTGACCCCACAAAATGGCCTTCTTTTTGGTCTCCCGGAAAAAAAGAAAGAAAGAAAAAACAACACAAACAAGAGGTACCAACTCCAAAAGGACCCGCCGCCCACTTGCAGCTGAAGTGCCAACGTCCAGGAGTTGTCGAAGGAGTCTTGGACTTCCTTCCGTGTGACCTCCGGAGCGGGTACCGGGAATGTCTTTGAAACGACTGAGTTGCTGGGATGGTCTGGAAACCAACCGGGGAAATACAAACTCTGCTTCAGCAAATGGACGGCGTGGATGCCCAAATTCATTTCGCGCTAGGCATGGACGAAACCCGATTTGAATACAGGGATAAATGCCTATGTCAGTTGATAAACCGCCTATCAACTGATGCAGATTTTGTTCATCCACGGATTTGTTTTATTCAACGTGTCCCATTGCAGGACCAAGAGTGAAACTGCACCAGTGCCAGTGCTGGTTCTTTCAATTTGCTCGCCAGTTCTTTGCCCTTTCCCAACTTGGGTGTATGTTCTGAGAGTACCGTGACCAGGTCAGTAGGAAAACCAAAAGGACACCCACCCCTTTTGAGTTTTGGCATGAGCCACAGTGAAAAACTATGTGCCCATGTCCGAATGGTGAGTTTGTGAGTGTGGGCCATCCTCCTTGCTTACACAAAGAACTAAATGGGTGTGTGTGTGTGTGTGCTTTTAGGGTTCCCCAAAAAATTGGGCGTGTTCCTTTTGATTTCCCCGCCAGAACCGCAAACAAGGGTGGATCCCAGGCAAGCCCAAATAGCTCTAGGGGTTGATTCCCCATTCTTTTCAGCCGTCGTTCTTTTTAAAAACCAGCCATTTCCCCGAGGTTTGTTGGTGGCTTTCTAGAAAGAAGGATCCCTGGAAAGAATGGGGAAGTTAGCCCTAGAATCGTGGGTAACAAAATCTGTAACCAACCACTTTCCTTTTGGGTTTTGAAGGCGGCTTCCCTTGGCTACCTGCCGTACAACATGGAACTTGCTCCTTGCCTTGTTCAGGTTGGGCATGGGCAGTGCCCGGATGCGCCCGTCCGCGGCCACGCCGGGGCATGTCCCGGGCAGGGGCGCCTTGCCCGTGAACCAGGACAGCTCCCGCGGGCTGCTCAGCCAGGCCTCCGCGGAGATCCCTCACAGCTTCCCACACATCTGGGTGTGTCTTTTTGTTGATGGCACCCCCTTTAAAGGGCGGTGGAAGGGAAACTCCCGAAAAAAAGACGGACCCATATGGAGGTGTTGAAAAATGGGATTTGTTTGGTGGTTTTGAAGGGAAAGCACCAGGATGCAACCAATCATTACTGGTTAGGCGCAACATATATATATATATATACATATATATATATACCCTGGGCCCTAAAAGACGTTCTTTTTCAGGATTTCACGCCTTTTCAGGCGAAGACCAAAAAAAGCAACTCAATGACACAACTTTGGCGTCGCTGCCTTCGCGCCATGTTTTCAGGGCGGCGCGTGTTGCGTCAAATTTTCAGGGGAGACTTAAGCAAAAATATCGTTGCAGGGTCCAGGTATGTCGTGTCGGATGATTGAAGGCATGCCAGCTGGAATCGCAGGCTCATAATATGCTATGTTCATACATTTAGCACCCGCGCCATGTCACACCCCAATTGTCTCATGGTGGTTTTGTGCCATCAGTAGCCTCATGAAATGCCTTTTGCAAAAGTAGATGTCGAGTGCACAGCGCAGCTGAGGAGCCATCACTTTGAGTCTCCAACTCTTTCCATTTTTGCAAGGGGTTGGACAGAACCTGTTGACACATGGCTGTGGGTCAAAACCAATGGGATCCCATTTTTGGGTAGGTGCACCACCAATGTTAATCTACTTTAGTGGGGATTGGGATGTTCACTTGAAAATGTTCATCGGGGTATGATTTGGCTTTTGACCCATGGCCACATGTTCAAAGCTTAAACCACCACTGCGTCAACCGCCTGCGCTTGTCTCTGTTTCATGGAGATATCAGATCAAACCGAGCGCCGGGCTTCTCCGCGCAAGTTCACCATCCACCTCGGGCGGGAATTCGTGGATGGGCTGCCGTAAGGAGCGGGGCACGGCTTTGGAAGGCGAAGGAACCTAGCACATGCCCGGTACGGGGGGGGGGGGGGAAAATGTACACACCTGAGAAGACTCAAACAAAATCTCTTCAGCTGAGGGTGCTCAAGGCCGCCTAGTTCAGAAAGGTGGTGGTGTGTGAACTGATTGAGTCAGGTTGATAGGTTCATGCGCGGAGTCAGGCTGAATTTGTGTAGATCTAGGCAAATTACAAGCATTGACATTCTGGATATGGCTCACTGGTGCAAGCACTTGTCTTGTGAAATTGCCACCTCCTGTTTGTTGAGCGATCGCAAATGGTTGCAGTGTCCAGGAACTGGTTGGAAGTGTGAACGTTGATTGGAGCTCTCAGTGCAGTGTGTCCACCTTTACATTCACACGGATTGCGTGTGGCAATGTCTATTTCGCGGAAAAATATTCAGCCACAAGTATGAAGCAGTGGACAAAGTGGGCACTTTCCCAGAACAATCTTGACTTGGGCAACATGAACGTGTCAAAACATCCCACGCTTTTCCGGTGCTTTCGTCGCATTCGCCCGAACAATCGTTGTGTCAAAACTTTGAATGGGTCTTCATAGAATATGATCAACCATTAACAAACACTTCTCAGCCGACTATCACCTGTGCCCGCGTTCCCTGCCCAGGACTTGGTCTTGAGAATAAACACCGACAATACGTGGAAAAGGTTTGGCCAGAATCTGGGTTACATCGAACATCCTCATTTTCAGATTCCGTTTCACGTGAAACATAACATCGTCTTGGAGGAGACCGCAAAAAGCACGGCGCATCGCTGATCCTT